GAGAAAGATGAGGGCTAATGAAAAAGCTGTCTCCAAGATACTGTTGAGCAAATTGGATAGCTTCTTCAATTAGATAAAACCCTTTATAGAGTGGTTTTCTAAAATCTTGTATTTGGAACAAGATCTCATCCCACTTCTTATAAACTCCAGGGGTTTTTCCCTTGATTAGAACATAATAATTAAATTTATTATATTTTTTCAAATATTGGGCTAAAGTTTTTAAATTATTCTCAAAAAGGTTCAAATTGCCGAAGCTCTCCTGAATGTTGTTCAGAAGTTTATCAGCAACTGGATCCAAATTGAGACCTTCTGTACAGGACCTAGCTCTAGAGGTGTTGCCTTTATCGCTGGCTTTGCCTGAAGTCGAGCGTCTCATTTTGATCCTGCATAAGAGAAGAATGAATACATCTACTTAGCCAGTCAGCCAGATAATTATCTTTACTTTTAATATGCTCAAATTTTACTTTAAAACCATTTCCAGTTATGATATTTACAAAATTCATCCATCTTTTAGAAGAAAGACTTTTTTCATTTTTCTTTTGAAAATATTTTACAATTGCTCACAGTCTGTTCTAATTGTAAAAACATCATTTTGGATGAAAAGTCTAAAAGAATTTAAAGCATTTATAACTCCTAAAATTTCAAAATCAAGAGAGGTTAAAGAATTTTTACTTTCTCTGTATAAACCACTAGAATATCTATAAATCCTTTCTTCTTTTGAGATGAGAATTCTTTTGGTCTGACTAAAAGAATTGCTCCCCATCCTTCACTACTACTATCAGTTTCAACTATTTTGTAGTCTGATTCTAATGGTAGAGTTAGAGATGGTAACTTTTTAACTTCATCTTTTATTCTTTTTAGTCCTTTGGGACTAAGTTTTGCATATAATGGTCCAGTCAGTTTAGACAGATCCTTTATATACATTCGGGCATAATTGAGTATACCCAAGAATTTTTGAAGTTCTTTAGTTTCCTCGATTTTGTCGGGAAAGTCAAGAATCTTTTGAACTATGTGATCCTAACTGAATTTTTCCCTGTCCAATCCTCATTCCTAAAAATTCAATGTACTCTTTGGAGAGTTCCATTTTCTTTTTAGAAATTATAAGGCCATTTTTCAGGAATTCAGTGAAAACAACCTGTAGGTGTTTGATATGCTCAGTCTCAGTTTTGATGAAGACTAGAATATCATCTATGTAAACTAAGACGAAATCAGAATATTTTTTGAATATCTGATCCATCTTTCTTTGGAAAATTGAAGGTGCATTTTTTAATCCAAATGGCATGACTTGCCACTCAAAATGTCCTTCGGGACAAGTGAAGGCGGTCCATGGAATGGATTCTTTTTCCATTTTGATCTGCCAGAAACCAGACTTACAATCAAACTTGCTAAAGATTTTTGAATTTTAAATGCAGTTGAGTAATTGGTCTTTATCTGGTATTCTATATGCATCTTCATAAGTGTTATCATTTAGCCTTTTATAATTTATGACCATCCTAGCCTTTCCTCGTTTAATTTCTGCATGATTTCTTACCATGAATGCTGCAGAGGAATGTCTAGAATTGGAATGCTTTATGACTCCTAAGGCTACAAGCTCTTTTATTTGAACCTCAAATTCTTGCCTGTCAAGTGGACTGTGATCCATCTTGCCACAAGTAATTCTAAGTTCAGGATTTATTATATCTAGCTTTGCTGTGCATTTATTTCGATCCCAATATTTGATTGGGTCTTCTCCTAAGACTTGAGTTTCATCAGCTATTCTGATTAACTCATCCAAGTTCATTTTTTTGTAATTTTTATTTTTTCTTTTGTTTTCCTCTTTCTGAAAGTTTGAAAGAGTTTTTTCTATATTTACATGCACCACTTCTTCAACATTAATTAAGTTATCAAAAAACTGATAATCTATAGAATCTTCAGATATTTTCGAAGTCTCTTTTGAGAGATTTGGTGTATAATCAGATTCCAATAAATCATAAAAAAACTTTTCATCACTACTTAAATAATTACTATTATACTCAAAATGCTTATTTAATTTATTTTGGATTTTTTGGGGTGCTTTTTCTTCTGGGTTTGGAAGATTCATGACATATCTATCCGTTGGGGTGTAACTGGTTCGTTTTGCGAACTGTACTCCATTAGAAGAAATTGTTATTTGGCCCTGGAAGTGAGTGATAAAGTTTAAGCCAATTATGAAGGGATGATTATTTTGGATATTATGTACAATTACTTGAGGTAAGGTGTACTTTTCTCCAAAATTTCCTGATCCCCATTCCCAGAAAGAAATTTTTGCATCCTTTAGACATTTATCATATTTGAGTTGAGTTCCATCCATTTGAGTTCCATAAACAGCTTTCATTGTTGAGACTTGAGAACTCGGGATTTCTGTTTCAAGGATGTGAGATTTAGATGCTCCTGTATCAATCATTCCTAAGAATTCTTTTGCTTCTCCATTTTTGAAGGTGATTGAACACAGTATGCTAAGTAGGGTATTTGGATCTTTAGGGTTTGTTGGAACATTAGCCGATAAAGTAGAGATTTGTTCTTCTTTATATGCTGTTGGTTCATTAGCATCTTTTCCTTTGAGTGGAAGTTTTGCTAATTGGTTCTCCAGTTCCTTTGTTCTTTGGTGGAGAAATTTTATCTGTTCTTCTAATTGCAAGATGTACTCATCCTTTTCATTGAGTGTTTTGGTCATTGATTTCATTTCTTGCAATAGAGACAATTTTTCTACATCTCTGATTAATTGTTCTTCATTTGATGCAGGGATGTTTATTTGATTTACAGGTTTTGAAGGCTGTACCTGTTCAACCTCTTCTTCTAACTTTTTGTGACAGAATATACAATATACTTTTGAGCATATTGTACATTTCAATTTTGTAGAAGGCTGGGTGTACCTATGACAATCTAAACATTTTTCCCATTGTGGTGGTTGGTTTGATTGCCATAAATGTTTGCAGTCAAAATCAATCTTGATCATCATGATTTTTACAGTGTTTAATTTTTTATCAAGAGAATCTATAAACTGCTGAAGATTTTGATCTTCAAAGTCTATGTCTTCTTCAAATTCTGAATGAGATTCAGACAAGTCTTCTATAAACAAATCTTCTTAAATGATGCTGTAAACATCACTTTCAGACTCGTATCCGCTTATAGAGATAATGTCTTCTTCTTCTGCAAGATTTGCCCATATCTGAGATCTTTCAGTTGGTTTATCTTTGTTTGGGCATTTGTTTGCATAATGTCCTGGATCTCCACATATGTAGCATTTTCTGTCTTTCTTTGGATTTTTGGGTTTTTTCACATATTTCTCCTTTTTACCTATCTTTCCTTTTTTGAAGGTTTTACTAGGCTTAAGAGAATATGTTTTCTTTTTTATGAATTTTTTGGGTTTGGGTTTGCAGGAAATACATTCTTTTTTGGATTTTTTTGTATTTTTTCCTCCTGTTATATGATTCTTTTGAAGAACTATGTCCCCTAATTACGGATTTACAAAAACCAAATTTTTGCTTTTTAAGAGATTTTTGGATTTGAATATCTACACACTTTTCTCTTAATATTTTATATATAAACAAAATCCTAGGGCCTGCTCCCTGTTGAGGTGCAGGGTTAGAAGCTAGCCATTTTTCTTTGATTTGTTTACTAAGGGTGCTTGGTAGCTTATCAAAGATTCTGTTATTTAAGTTGTCATCAAATCCTTGTCCTGTTCTAGCAACAAGTTTAAGAAAATCATTGCAAAAGACTCGGTTTGATACCAAGATGTTAACTAAAAGACCTCAAGTTCCTCAATAGCTTTATTTTGCAAAGCTCTTTCGGAATCAACAGTTACATCAGATCCTAAGAACATCTTTTTGATTAAAGATGTAAAATTGTATGGATTTTCCCCCAAGTCTTGTGTTTCAGCAACTAAGGTTGGGTTCTCTCTCTTAAAGGTATTCCAGTACAATTCTACAGTGGGGCCTAGAAGGGTTTCTAGGAATTCGAACATCTCACCATCCATAGATCGATTGATCCATGCTCGGCAAGCGTCTCTTTCCCATTGATCTATTATTTCTGCCCAAAGCTGTGGATTCCAACTTGGTAATTCTAGAATAGTCCCTTGTTGTTTTGCAGCAAGTAATTGGTTTGGGTCAATCTCTATTTTTTTACCAAATTGTATCCTTTCTCTGTTCTTTCCCCTATACTCAAGTGTTGCTTGAGGTATGGGATATCTTCCTCCTAACTGGTATGTTCTAGAACCGAAGACTCTAGATGTTCTGGGAGCACTAGAATTTTCTTCAATTTCGGATCTAGTTGGAGCACTAGGGTTCCGATTAGGATTTGGATTTAGATTTTCAGGGGTTACATTCATGAATATTTTTTCCTATTGGGATTCATATTCATGAATAATTTGAAGTATGGGTTTGTGATTTTTGAAGTAAGCCTCAACTGGAAGTTCTAGATCTAGAATTTGATCCTCAATGTCTTCCCCATGGTATTTCAGTGTTAAGACTTCTTCAGCATTAACTTCTTTTCCTTTTGAAGAAAAGTAAGTTTCAATGAATTCCCATTCTTCATTATATTTGTCTTTGATTGGTCCCCATTTTGCAAAATGTTCTTCCCTTTTTCTTAAGGTTTGAAGCTAAGAAGGTCCACTTTCTTCATTTTCAATTTCTTCAGTGAGGTGTAGCATCTTGATTTCAACTGTTTCTTCATTTTCTTCTTGTTCAGGAAGAATATTTTCATAATCACTAAAGCTTAGACTCGTTTCTCCCTTATAATTTTGATATAAGGTGTTTCGAGTGGGTACCATTATGGGCTTG